TTCCTCTCTCATGAAGTGAGTGCGGACGGAATCAGAGCCTTGCCGAAGATTGTCAAAGGCATAGAGGATCTACCGTTCCCGTCGACATACAAGGGAGTGCAGTCCTTCTTAGGAAGTCTGAACTACTACAATAGGTTTATTGAAGACTTACCAGTAGTTGCCGCTGTGCTCTACGAAGTAGACGAGGAACGTGTACGTGCTGGGCGGAACCTGGAAGCCGCAAAGGAGTCTTTTGATATACTGAAACGTAAGATCGTGTCGACCCCGCTATTGCGACATCCAGACAGAACCAAGCCTTTTGTAATAATTCCGCATGCCAACCCGTGGGCGGCGTGTGCAGTTCTGGGTCAAGAACATGAAGGACTCATACACCCCGTGCGATTTACGGGTAGAGTGTTGAAGGAATCAGAGCTACGCTACCACATAGCTGAGAAGGAAGTGCTCGCAATCTTGCGGACTCTTGAACTTTTCAGAAGCCATGGGTCAGAATTCCCAGTTGTGATGTATACGCGCTACTCGGTACTAAAGTGGTTATTACAATCCAACACTGCAGATGGACGACATCTGAAGTGGGGATTGGAATTATAGAGATGGACACTGGAGATCCATCGGACTCAGAAAGATAAGGACGGCCTTGCGGCTATCCTCGGGTCGGGTATTACTCGCAGGGAACATTTAGATGAAGTTGCAGAAACCCTGATTCCCGCCAAGGGGCGTCTGAAAGTGATGCCACCAGTGAGCCTGGAAATGTTGGAAACAGCCTACCAAGGTTACGTCCTGAGTTTTGATGTCGCTGCGAAGGTCTCCACTCGCCGAGGAAGTTGTGGATGCATTTGTCAGGGCATGGCAGGTTGTGAAAGCTGAAGGATACATCCTGGAAGCTGTGACAGTCAATGATGCTGAATACCATGGTCTGATTCTGGGACTAAAGCTCACTATGAAATACGATGTCAAAGAGCTTGTGGCAGTCGGTGATTTCCGAATCGTCGTCCAACAGGCTCAGGGTCTCATCAATTGCAACCAGCCCAACCTGAAACGACGCTTAGCTGAGTATGAAGATCCCAGGAAGAATTTTGTGTCGGTTAAATTGATTTATGTTAAACGTGAGTTTAACCAAGCTGCCGACTACCTGACTTCTAAGACTCTTGTGCTCGGAGAATCCTGGGAACTCAATGACCCCGATGAGATAGTGCATCTACGTCTCGTATCCAGGATCCCTGAAAA